TACCGACAAAAATAGTTTGGGACACTTTCGATACTCCACGTATCGAGCTTACTAACGAAGCCGCGAAATGGCCAGGATCATCGTGTGATCCAAAGTAACGAAATTTCCGAGCGGGGAAAATTTAGCGCCCTTAATGGACTATCAAAAACGTATTAGATCCTCGTTTGCAAGAACGTAAGAAGAGATAAGGCTATCGGTATCGTGTTCGCTTTCGGAAATTTCCTGATTTCGACAGAGATCCATTGGATGCGGCAGTGTCGCTTTGCTATTCAAACAAAGCCGCGTAACAGCGCTGATCACTCACATCGGAATCCAGTCTTCCCTTCTTGTTCGCAAGATCGCGCGTAAATCTTCGGCAGGATTGGGGCTAGAAAACAGGGATAAACGACACTTCCGCTCCTTGGCGCGATACTTATTCAAGCTGGGAGAAGAGCCTCAGACTTATCTTCGATCGAATTACCGAGCCGCGCTTTTTTCCGCCGTTCCAGATATAGTGATGTCTTGCCGAAATAACTTCATCGTACGGAATTCCGAAGCAGAATCCGATAGATTCATTCGAATTCATCTTCCCTCGAATAAATCGATTCGGGTAAAAGGGTCTTTTACACGATTGGATTATATAATATAAATTCCGAAGACTTTTAGAGACTTTCTCTCTCTTGAGAAAAAATAAAGAGATTAACATGAAAGTTCTCCAACTGAAACAATTATCGAGTAAATACTTGATTCACATGAACATCAGGATATCACTATCGGAAAATATTTTTACAGCAGATTATAAAGTGAACAAGATTGAGAGGAATTTGTTGGAGATTGTTTTGAGCTCAAGCCAACAAAAGTTCTTGGTAAATAAATATTTGTTTCATAAGTTTTGATTGGAGATTAGCGAAATTCAGTTTTAAAATAGATATTTATTTTAGCTTAACTTTCTTGTAACTAAAAGTATATATATCTACAGATATACGATTAAAAACGCTATATACGATGAAGAACATGTTGACTTTTCCTTTTGGAACATTGTTCCGAGTCAACAGACACGTTATGTAATGCCACGCACGGTATTAGCAATGCAAATGTTGCGTTCCCATTTTACGGTTGGGCACCTCGTATAAACCGTATATAGTGGTATCAAGTTGCTCTTGGTGCGTGTGCAAACATAGTTAATATCTCGATTTCGAGTTGTATTGAAACACAGACGTAATGTGTCAACCTAAATACCACTCGCAAACTTTCGAAATGCACCGGAAACGTCAGTAGAGCCGGGTGAGAACGATTACAACTTCGATTATAACACCGGAGACATTGTGGTGCTCTTACTCCATGTATTATCTCGCCATACATCAATACAACTAAATTACAATCACATCCGTTTACAGTTTAAAAAATATGAATCACATTTACAAAAGTGAAAATAATAAACGAGATATAATTAGGTTCAAAGTAATTTTTATATGCTGCAGATTTTATAATTTTTGTACGGATCAGCTAATAATTAAAACAGAAGATTAAAAGCAGAGGAGAATCATGCGCGTGTAATGAATATTTTTTCTTCTTTGCGTTTTAACGTAGCTTCTTCAACTTTAGCTGTTTAAAATTTTCCTTGAGCGTTTAATTTTGATATCATAATGAAAAAAAATCCTTAAACATTTAACCTTAATGTAATGATATTGCTGTTTAAATAACGTTAAACATTTTTAACGTGTTGATTTTCTAATAAACAGTCGGTTCTTCTGTGTCCTTTTTGTAAGATATGATAGCGTGTTTAATAAATATTCTAAGTATGTGTGTCAAATGTGTATTATATAAACAACACATTTTAATGTTGAAAAAGGAAAACTGCAATGCGAGTTTATAGCCTAGCCCTAGGATATGTTGTAAACAGTTTTGCTAAGTCGGGAAAAAGACCAACGCAAATGTCTCGGTTAGCTTCGTCAACTCTAAACATTTGCCTCGCGATAACTCCATACACGCTGCCAACTTTCTGCAAGTCAAACCGTTGACTTTCTCAAGCTCAATGCGCGAACCGCGGCGCTGTTTTAATTTTATTCCTCAACCTCCTTTACGGAGAAGTCTTGCGTCGTACAAATTATACATTCGTAAGATCTATTTTGGACTAGTAGGAAAATGGATAACAGAATTTACATTTATGCATTATTTTTAGAAGATATTGCATATTAAACACATCTCTATTTTATATAATAAAAATTTTCTTCTTTTGATATATTTTATTACATGGCGAAAAACTTTAATCTTTATTTTTTATTTTATTTTCAATTATTGATTCTTATATCATAAAAAAAAAAGATTATTGCAAGTTTCCTGATAGGTCACATTTAATACGACATTAAAGTAATTATCCGTTGGCGCATTTGTACGCACCAAGATGACATATGATAAGAGATCCAGTCGCAAAAAGCAAATTGCAATTTTCTCGTATAATTTATTATAATCTAACCGCCATTACGAGAAGAGCATTTGAATGTCTTTTTGCGTTGCGTGGAGAGGACAAAACCCTTTCTTGTTTGCCTTTCCTTTCAAATTGGTTCGAATCAACATCGAGGAACCGCGCGAATTTTCATAGTTGATTTCTGTTAGATCCGTAATCCGTACACAATTGTTCCTCTCTACTAAGAGAGGAACGCCGTGTGTCTGGTAATAAAACGAAAAGCCCGCGCGAGCAGCAAATTATTTGTCTGATGCTTTGCGCTCGTAGAGTAGCAGTCTCTCTCTCGAAAAAGCAGCAGCTGTGATTCCGACGCATAATACTTCTCGGTGCACCAGTGCAGCGAAATGTAATAATGCCATTCCCGTATCTCTCATAATGGTTCATATAGTGCTTTTGTTTAGAAAAATAGTACTTCTTCGGCTGAAGCATCGTTAGATCGAGAAGAATTCTTAATCAATATATTTTCGCAGCGATTTATATTAAACAGCGACATAAATGGAAAATGTACGTATTAAATTTTAACAACCTCGGTGTAATTCTGTGCGTGACTCGCGCGAAGCTCATCGCTGCTCGATCGCAGTTAGCTATAGTAATTATCGAAATGAAAATACGGTCATGGCGTTTGCAAGTTATCGGTGATGCGTGATCGAACATCTCTCGTCTCCGCCTCTCTTTCCGGAAATAACTGGAACTCACGTTATTGACCGGGAAATAATTGCATCGTTAACGAGTAATCAGACCAGCTGCTCCTTCCCATGATTAAGTAAGATATTTTGCAACAGTTCAGCAATAAAAGAGAAAAAGTATCCTCGAATCAAAGCGAAGTTCTAGGAGAGATACAATAATTACATGATTGCAATCGTTATGATGAGTCATGATCAGTTGATTAGTGTTTTTTCCGGACATTTTTTTTTATTTTAAGCTCGTGATATTTAATGCAATATTCCTCGAAACTTTAGGAAACTTTGCGCGCATACCCATTATTGGTATTTATCGAATTATGCAATATCGAGTCTTGTTATGCAGGTAATGTCGATATATTCCCAGACGTGTATAGCTATATATATGCTCAGCGAACTAGACATTGGCTGAAACTTCACAAAATATCAAATCTTCGCATGTTGCGGGAACTCCTGCTCTCGGTAACTAGAAGATTGAGCGATTTGATTAAATATTAAATCTTGATAAGGTGCATAGGAGAATTAGAGTAGGGAGGGACCTTTTTTGAGTTATGGTCTTTAATTATATTCTGCATTGATTTATTAATTTTTATTATTAAAGTCGATTCTCTCTCAATGTTTCTACCTGTTTCAATCGCTCTCCTCCCCCAAAAGCCCTCTCCTATAGCTTCCGAGATTTTTAGATGTCTTGATTTTTTTCTTTAAGTGACTTAAATAGCTCCTTTTATCCTATATGCTAAAATTCATACAATCGATGCACAATGTACTCTATTAGTTTGCTATTTTAGAATAAACCGTACCGTATTTCTTTTACTAAAAGTTTATAAATTCAACCGTTGTTGTGTACACGCGAGTAATTCAACGGCATAATAGACTCGCTTAATAGACCACGAGCGCAAGCACAAAGATAATATTCGATAAAGCGCATGACAAATTTTTCAATTTTAATTAAGTGTCAATCAAATCCGCAGTCTCAGTCAAAAATCCGAAAAGATAATAATCGCCCTTTATCCGCCTTTGAGCCGGTTTAACTCTTCAAACAGGCGTCATGCATATTCTATCAACGACCTAACCAGAAACCGCAGGCCAGCCTTGCGGTAATGTTAACCCAGCAGGTAGCTCTACTCGGATCTATATAGCCTTGACATGGAGGTATGCCCGAGATTGAGGATTTTGAAAAACGATGAAGCAACCGTAACCGCAACAGCAACCTCCGCTCTACCTTTGATGTGACGAGAATATTGCAAAGTTCTTTTTTTCCCCTAATATTTATGCTCCATTTAAGAAACGCGATCTAGAAAGTAAACTCTCGAGATCAAATAAGTTTTTTAATTTTGCACATCTCCACATCTCTCAGATATTCCACATCTCAATAAATATTTGTACTCTTAGTGAACTCAATAAGCGTAGCAATTTAACTCTCAAAATAGAGAAATATCTTTTTTACATGAGAATTATAATGAAAAATCTTAATCTATCCAATAAAGTGATTAATACTGGGTTTGACATTTACTGCTCTGACACGGAATAGTTAATAATGTCGCTTGGTTCCTTTTACGTCACGACAATTAATTTGTAGCAATTTGTAGCATTCACCACAAATCACGTTGAGTTATACGAGCGTTTTGAAATTAAATATATATTAATTTACTTGAAAAATCTGTAAGCAAATTCTAGCAAGTGGAGCTGATATTTTTTTATGTGAACGTTTATGGTCTTCGGTTTATATTATATTTGAGTTATAAGTTGAAGATTATATGCGCGAACAAAGCTTTCGTCATAATGCTGTCGGACGCGGATTTGTTAGCGTAATTAGCGAGTTGCCTCAAGAAGGGGAGGGGGTCGCAAAATGCTGGAATTATGTTGTCACTCACCTCCTTGTCGCCCAGCTGATGAACTCTGCAGTGAAGAAAGGCGGTCTGACCGACTGCGGTAGTGACATTCCGTGGCACATTCGTTTCGAAAGCCGGCACGCCGCTGACGTTGCGACTCCCCTGAACAAGACTACTGCTCAAAACTCTCTGATCGCGAGTGAACGTACCTGCGTGACACATAACACAGAAATGTCAGCGTCAAAAATTAGCATGTCCACAACTGAATCGTGAAACTCGTTAAGCGGTTTTAAGCTGAATAAAGCTTTAAACATTTTGCTAGGAATTGCGATTAAACGGGAAATAATTGCGCAACTTGTCTTTTCTCGTATATTCATATTCTTATTTCTAATGTTTCGGACACTGAAATAATAAGAATCATTTTTGCTTTCAGATCAGAAGCTATTTGCGGCAAAAGAGATGCAGCTTGGTGAGTTACGATAATTTATAAAATTAAAGATACATATTCTTGCTACGCAATTTAATTATGAATGTAGTGACCCAATAACTTGCTCTTACGTAGAATATATATAACATTTTGTTTCTGTAAATTAAAGCACTAGAGTTTAATTAGAGCGCTACAGTTTTTAGCTAAATGCATTCTGAGACTACGACCATGTTGTAGTACTTATCTTATACGTTGCGTTATTGTGTGACATATAAAGTAAATTTATAAATTTCACAATTCAGAGTATATTTAATCAAACGCGAATTATATCACTCTTATACAAATCTCCATCGAAATTATTAAATCTGCGAACCATATCGTCTAATGTAGCGGAAATAATGTACTTTCATAGTACACCTTGTGTGTAATTGTGTATCGAGCAGAACATAAGTTAAACAATGTTCCTAAGTATTTGCAGCAGTGTTAATATATATTTAGGAACCACTTCTAAATGTCACTTCTTTTGTCATGCCAATTCTTCTTACATACAAAATGCCACTTTTTACATTCAAAAATTGCCAATTCTTTTTACATACAAAATCGTAACGGTTCTCATAGGTACATACTATGAAACTTGTTTTTGTTATTATTGAAACGACTTTATAAGAGGACTTTATCTTATTGTCAGAATCGCGGCGCGGCAGATGCATATCAGACAATGCATCATAACATATATGTATATGCATGCGCATTGTAACGCATGCATTGTAACGTTAGTGTTGACGTTATCGAGGCAAATGGTATAGGTTTCGACGGATGCCGCCAGCGTCTACTTATAGTTATCGATTGTTAGCGGCTGAACTAGATAAGCTCGTAAGTTTGTATTTGATCTGCAGCTAAGACATAGATCATAGATTAATCTGCAGCATGCGGATAGAGGAGGGCTGGAATGGGCGAGCTTGCATGATCTAGCCCTTTATCCGTTAGGTTGTTTTGCGCATGGATCCGTTCAGACAGAGTATGTTTTGCGAACGTAACGTTACGTCGTGTTTGCGCACACCGACGACGGTCATTTCGCCGATATTAGCGTTAGATTGCTCGCTAATTACCGTCGATATTCACAGTGGCCATAATGGCGATGTCGGAAGTTCCGCGAAGGTATCCATTTAACCCTTAAGTGCGCAGCTTTGCATATATGCAAAGCGACTTTTCGATACTTCATGTAATCTTCCTTATGAAGTTTGAACTGAAAACGCGCGACTTTACACATCTGAAAGGTTTTCTCTGGCCCTTCTTTCCCTTTTGAATGAGGAAGGCCCAAAAGGTCATTATTTACTTAACAAATACTCAAAATGCTACGAAAAATTGGGCATTTAAGATTTTAGTAATTATCTTTTTGTTGCTTTCATAATACTCGTTACATCATAATCACGCGAGAACGTGCTTTAATATTATATTAATATTTTTTAATAAATTTTGTGAAAGAGAAATTTTCTTTGATTTTGATTTTTTTATATCGTAATAAAGTTTCAAATTTATATTGCAATTCAAATATATGTATATACAGAACATGACAGCAAACATATGTATTTTTGAAACTGATAACCCACTTTTATTTGCTTTCAAAAAACTGTTTTAGATGAAATATTTAATAAAAAATTAACCTGCAGCAATGCTACCGCATCGCTATATACGTTAACACGAACATAACATAATGAAAATATGAAGATTCTGAAGTTTGAAGTATCTCTGGGAATATTAAAAGTTATTTTATACTTTTTATGTGCTTTTGGCTGTATAAATGGGTATATGCAGAAGCCAAAAAATATATTCAGAAATTGCATAATATTTCGTTTCTTTTTACGGGACTATGTGAACTTCAACAGTTAACCCATGCTAGCTGAACATTTGAATAAGATTTGAATTTTGTGCGTAAAGTTGTTGAAACAAGTCGATTTTCCTGTCGATTTGAATTCTCATATTATTCCTTAGAATAATTTTAATAATGCTTAAAATAAAGTTCTAAATTATAGCACTTCAATGTAGTAGAGAAAAGTAGTCACAATTGTAATAGAGAAATCATATAAACTATTTTTTTTTCTTATAAACATAATGTTAATCAATCTCTCGTTTAAGTAAGAAAACAATTTATTTATATTACACGTTTTATTCCTCATATTAAAATTTAGAGGACATCTTTATATTAGGATGCAGTTTGAAAAATATGGATATTTTCTTTTAAACAAGGTTAATATCGAATTAGTAAGCGTACAAACGGGAAACACATTAATCTTATTACGAGGATTTATATAAAAGAGAAAAAATAAGAATTGCATCAAACGCTATATGTATATTTGCAAGCTACATTCGTATAATGCAAGTTGTAGTTTATTTATGAAGAACTGTCTAGGCCGGGATATGAATGCTGAGGCTTTTGACCTCGTTGGATATTAGTACTCTTTACATAAGTGGTTCCAGGCAACATTTGTATTCCAAGAATTCATACGTAGCAGCGGAGAAAAGCTTCTTCTCAGTTAAACAGTTAGGACAATGTAAAGAGGACTTAGATTTACCTATATTTTGTATCCGTAGACGATTAATTGTAATGCAGTCACAATTATTCGGAATTACCTCTATTTTAATATTTGAGGTTATAAATTATACTTCTAAAATTATTATATTTAGTGCATTATTTGAAAATGACATAATGAGACAAGTAAATAATTGCTATCTAATTCATGATAAAACAATAAGTCACGATATTTTTTATTGTTACCTTTTATAATCAGTACTCAAAATTTTCTTAATTTTAGAATGTAAATTTTTTCGGAGGATTTATAGTGCATTTCATCTACAGTACATTTTTTAAATTATTTATTCGGGACATAATAAGAAATTTTGATCAATTTTTAATATTCAATCACAGATACCATTTAAATTTAGATAGTATGTTCTCATACATACATTTATATTTTATATAATGGAAAAAAATCAGAAGCGTCGATATATCAGTTGTGACACATTATTATTTTTTTTCCTTTCCTCCTATGTTATTAACGACAAATGAATCAATTTGCTTCGACGTCCCGATCCATTTAATAACAGAGAGAGCATAGGCAATCGATAGGTACGAGTAACGGTCCAGTGCTCGCAAAGATGCGCATGCAAGCGTCAGCGTGATTTCTCTTTAGGTGTGCCAGCGTAATTCGTATCAAGTTAACACGAATTGTATTTCATCAAAAACCGATTGACTGTCGTTTGCGCTTTCGCAGTGCGATAACAAAAGCATCGTACTTTGAGACCCACGTATCGGAACGGTTCGCGAACGAAACATCGATACGGGCGTGTTACTATTCAGTCGTAATCGAATGCGAAAGGTCACGAGCAGGAAGCAGTTCCGGAAGTAGATCGATAGGAAACGAGAATTTTCCATAACGGGGAAAATTCTCATTCCCCATTCCCGTTTGTGTAAACGTTGCAAGACTTCAGATTATTATTGAAAGCCAAGTGATATTGCTCATGTTACTGAGAAAGACAATGATATTATCCAAGATGTCAAATAACAGAATGCGCTCCGATAATGGACAATATTCAAAATATCGATATTACATTATCGGAGATCGATCTTTACAATTGCATCGGTTAAATGCATCATATATATATGTTCGATATGTCACGAACTTTATAAAACTTTGTTAATTTCGTTTCAACTACAAATACATTTCTGAGGATTCCGTCATTATTACTTGTAAGTGATAATGCAACGATAGAATAACTCTTATTAATATTACAGGAAATTTTTACAAATTCTGCGATTCTGTCGCTCGTTGTTGTATATCTTGATTAAGCCGGTGCAGTTGACGGTAAAGCGCAACGTTTTGTACCGAAATAATTTGTCATCGTCGCGACGAGCGTTTCCATATTCCGCGACCGAGTTTTACAAGGGTGCCACGGTGATTCGCGTTGATCAATAACGGGGGAATAATAAATAACGGACGGGCCTGTCGATAAAACATCGGGACCAAAAATCGTCGCGCACGGATACCGGGCACTATGCGAATGTTGTAGTACGCGATGCGATGCCTCGCTCGCAAAGTTATGACCTACGACCCGTGAAGCGGATGCACGGTAGTACTGCCCGCGTACGTGTAGGTGCACCTGGCGTGTCCTGCGGTTACAACGTTGTAACTCCCGCTCGTTGTGCGAGAACAACGTGCCGGAACAAAGAACCGAGGGTTTTTGTCTCGTTTCGTATAGTGCCGTTCAAAGAGGATTAGATGAAGAAGCTGGTGCACGTATATAGCGATTCTGCAGCTTACGACGTGACAATGTATAGCAGCTGCCATCGGAGCAGTAAATTGCGATACACATCCATGTAAAGTGATTCATGACAATAATTAAAAATCGTTCAAGTGTACTCTTATCTTCCTTTATGTAGTCTTGTAATTTTAACATCATCACGTTTTATTTGAAGAACTAATTGCGAATGGAATTATATCAATCAGTCAGATGACACTTTATATACATAGTTATAAAGCCTAGTCGAAGCCACTATATGTGTATTAGTTTAGGTATACCATTTATTGGAAAAGTAGCTTATGCTTATAGTTGCACTTTACTGACGCAGAGTCCAATATTGGCTGTGGTAATAAACTATATATATTGCAATATATTTGAGGGATTAATTATGTGATGTTATTATATTTCGTATTGCGTGATCTAAATTGCAATATCTAAATTACAACCAGACCTACCGAGTTTGGCCAACAATATCTAGGTTTTTTTCGGTCGGGTTGAATTCAACGTGCCACGAATAGTGAAAATATGTAGTTTTTGTTCCCGAAAAGAGTAATTTGGGCCACTGTAAGGGTTACATTCCACTGGGTGAGGCGGTGTGTTGTTCGACCGGACTTTTGTCGCAAAAATTGACTCGTTCGGACGAGCTATATACTCCGGGGATTACGCTTCGAAAGCGCCGAAGCGAGGCGTTCGATGTACGTGACATATGGCGGGTTGAAAGGATCGCGGCTGCAGTTACC